TTTTTTTTTTTTTTTTTAATTTAATATTTGCCATAGGCGTACCTTGGTCATTTTGCAAAAATTTCCGAAGTTAGTTTTAGTTTGCCAGAGTTCATTTTAGCGTGAATGTGATTCCTACAAAATCTCCCTGAAAATTTTGCCACATTCGTGATGTAAAAAAAATGTCCACTTTCTCTCCCTGGAAGTTAGCGAAGTTCGCAGTTTTCCGGACGATAAAACGTAGCAGCACTCCAACTTGGACACTTGTAAATTATACTAGTATTTTCACCGGATAACATACAGGATTGCAAAATCTGTCTACAATACTCTGATCCTGGGATTGCAAGCTCACGGTGTGCACCGTTCGGAAATAGCATGCACCGAGGTAAGTTCAACACCATGGATAGACGACTTGAGCTTGCACCGTGGTATACGTGCAATGCATGAGGTATCCTGCAGACTTGTAAGGCGCTACTCTAGCGTCGAGCGCACCGTGCAGTACGCGCAATGCATGAAGTATCCTGCGGTCCTGTAAGGCGCCATTATGCGTTCCGTTCCACGCACGCCGTACGCGCTAGCCCTGCGCAGCGCCGCGCCGCGCCGGCCGCACTACATTTGACGCGATTATTCGAACTTGCGGCGTCAGTGGTTTTCAACTTATGATTTTGAAGCCGTGCTAAGGTAAAACGCCGTATAAACCGCCAGGCGTTGCCAAATTTCCTTTGATAAAAGATGACTTTTCTAGTAAACTTATGACTATTTTTCTCTCAATGTTTTAGATAATTTTGTTCACAATCTCTCCCTGAAGTTCCCGAAAAAATCGAGTGAAAATATTCATATTTTTCCTTTAAAAAAAAGAAAACTTTATGGGAGGAAATTTGGCAATACTCTCAAATGTTCATACGGCGTTCTTCCTCAGCGCGGTAGAATCCGCCTTTGAATTACTTCCGGTAAAAATTCACATGACACTGTAACTTTCGCGCTCAATAAGAGTTTCCTTGACGATCAGTTAACGCGACTAGAAATGTTGTGTATTTCCGATAGATATGTATTTCCTTGACGATAATTTATTAAGACGTCGTTATTTCAGGAGGTATTTTTGCAGCGGAGTAACTTTTGTCCGCTTCAATATGCAATAAGACATTTTGCCGGCATTCTCGCCCCCTTAATAGCAACTTCTGCTGTGACAGAAAGCCTAAGTTCCAAGGCCGACATCGGATTTGAGATTAGGAAGGAAAGTTATAGTTTAAAACGCTTTCAGTCTCATTTTGGGATGGAACATTTTTTTTCAAAATTTTCGCCGCATGTGTAATGCTCTACCTACTGCGATAAAACGCACCGGGCTGTGGTAAGGCTGACAGCGGGGTTTTGAAATCAAAGAAAAAAGTTCCGTCGCTATTCAAAAATTTTCCCATTTTGCAGTGAGACACCAAAATGACAGATACTTTCCGGAGTACTTAATATTTCATAGAATGAGCTAGCGATTTTAAGATCAGGAGAATAATGGAGAATTTGCACACAAAAATTGTAAGTAGGTATTGCTTCCTTTGAGAGTGCCTATAATGAGCTGAGTTCGCAGTATTTTTCATACTTTTTTTCTGACGTGGAAAATCGAAGAAAAATGTATTTAAAACTGAGAAAATGTGCCGCCTTATGTGGTCATCTGGAGGCATTTTCCATTTAAACACATGTATTATAGCAGATTAGGTTATTTTGTCATATTTTCTCCAATAATTGTCCAATGTAGAAACCAAGGATATCCTCGCACTCAGTTTTCCAAGCAAAAACATAATAACGATGAACTTCACAAAATTTTAGACACCTGAAAACTCTCTATTGTGCTATTCTGCCGTGTTAAGGAAAAACGCCGTATGAACCTTCAGGCGTTGCCGAATTTCCTGGTAAATTCATGAATATTTTCCTTCTAATTTTTCAGATAATTTAGTTCACAATTTTACCTAAATATTCTGAAAATTTAAAGGAAAAATATTCATACCTAACTTTCTTCAAAAATGAACATATTTTATCGAGAGAAATTTGGCAATTCTCGAATGTTCATACGGCGTTCTTCCTTAGCACGGCAGTATTAATTTTAAGTGCATGCCACGAAATGAACACGAAAGTTTTGTAGAAAATTTAATTTACTCGGGGGGCGATGGATGACATCAGGATTTTCTCTCTCTGAAATGAGAGAAACAGGTATAAAAACACTCCCCTGCACATTTTATTCATAGACTTCTACTGGTTACATCAAGAATGTTCACCAACTTCTGTCGGACCAGGAGATCAACCCCGCAAATTTGAATCTCCCGGTTAGACATGTTGCAACGGTTCGACACGGAATCATGGAATCCTGGTTCGTTCCCTGTTCAAGTAGTTTCATTTCTACGTTCCTACCAGCCACATTTTGTTTTGTTGTCGTGCGTGAACTTTTTCTCGAAGGAAGATTTTTTGATAAAAATTTTGTGAACGCCAGCGAAAATTACATCCTCTATAGTGATCATTACATAAATTTTAGTGCTTCCAGCTTCAACGATTTTGATTCTCATCTGCAATATAAAACATGCCTGGCCATGTCTCGTCATCGAAATATTAGAACTTTAGACTATTCTGAAGGTTAGTAACTCGATCTTTCAATAAGTATTTCAGATAAATATCAGAGACTTCGCTTCTTGAAAGTCATTATCCAACTTTCCATCCCACTGTTGGTCAAGAGGAAACCTGATAACGCTTTCATTTAAAGGTACTGATAATATTGTGGTACAATGGTCTTGCAAACGTTGACCTGAACTCCTCACAACTGGCTATGTTCACTAGGGTGGCCCTTATTTTGGACTTTTCCGAATTTTTGAGGTGCGACCCCCTAAAAGGGTGCCTTTTGGTAAGTAAAGGATGGCAAAAAAAAAAAATTCGCGAAAAAAAATTTTTAAGTGGTGCCCCACGGGCGTTAAAGTTGGGACGCGCGTAAGCGTGATTTCCGCAGATCACGGTTTTTTACGATTTGACGCCTCGCGCAAGGGATGATGAAATTGACTTAGACTTATAAAAACTTGGTAACTTACTTACTTTTTTACGTACTTTCACGTGGTGACAACAGATTTTTTTTAAAATTTTTAGAAATTCGATTTTTTGCCCCGAAAAGTTGCGAGAAAGCGCGAATCGCACATTCCTGCAATTTTACGCGTCGCCTCAAATATCGTGTAGTTCACGTAGAAATTTGGAATTTCAGTAAGGCATTAATCACTTGTTAAGTTACTTGGCGATTATGATACCATGATTTGTGTAAAAAATGTCAAAAATCCGATCGTTTTTACCCTCTAAATTACAAAAATACGCGATTCGCGGAAAATGGCGCTGATGATTTTGCAGAGCGTCTTTTTTCGGTTGCAAATTAGATCTTTTGTGCATTCACATATTATCTGATGATTATGTGAAACAAAAAAAGACAGGGTAATTTAATCAAGTAAAAACACAATATTTAATTCTTTGGAAATAAGAGTACACTTTCATAGTAGAGGTTGACACAAGGTTTCTTTGGTGCACTTGGGGAAATTTTTTCTGTAGTCTGCTACGAGTTTTAAAATATTTTGTTGTTGAGCAGGATCTTTTGTTAGCCTACCATTGTATTCTTCGATCAACTTAACACCCCGTTCAGCCACATCATTTACTGAATTTAATTTACGCACTTTTTTGGAAATACTTTTGTATTCGTCGTCATTGCACCAAGTTGACGGGTCCTTTTGAAGAAAATTTGTTGGCAAACCGAATTTTGTAAAAAACTTTAAAGTGTCACTGTTGACAAAATCAGAAATGTCTTTGCCTACAATTTCCTTAATATCGTGGAAGATAAATTTTTTCTCATTATCTTCAGAATAGGGAGAATTATTCAATGAAACAATCATCTTTCTTTTCATCTGACCTGGAACATCAGGGTCAAAAAATGACAAAGCACACATCCTTGGATTTAAATACCACAAGTGGTTTTTAAATTTTGCGATACTAGCAACTGAATTGAATCAGACGAATTCTTGAAATGATGAGAGATCCGTCGATCTAGATTTTTCATGTTCATTCGTGTCTCAACGCGTTTCAACGTGTTTTGCTTCTCGCGCTCTCAACTCAGTGCAGTCTCTTCTGAATAGAAAAGATCGGATTTTTGACATTTTTTACACAAATCATGGTATCATAATCGCCAAGTAACTTAACAAGTGATTAATGCCTTACTGAAATTCCAAATTTCTACGTGAACTACACGATATTAATTGAGGCGACGCGTAAAATTGCAGGAATGTGCGATTCGCGCTTTCTCGCAACTTTTCGGGGCAAAAAATCGAATTTCTAAAAATTTTAAAAAAAATCTGTTGTCACCACGTGAAAGTACGTAAAAATTTAAGTAAGTTATCAAGTTTTCATAAGTCTAAGTCGATTTCATCATGCCAAAACAGACGCGCCGAATTGAAGAAATGTGCGTTTCGCGCGTTTCGATGGTCAAGAATCGTGTTTTTCCCCAACTTTACGGGGCAAAAAATCGAATTTCTAAAATTTTTTAAAAAAATCTGTTGTCACCACGTGAAAGTAAGTAAAAAAGTAAGTAAGTTACCAAGTTTTAATAAGTCTAAGTCAATTTCATCATCCCTTGCGCGAGGCGTCAAATCGTAAAAAACCGCGATCTGCGGAAATCACGCTTACGCGCGTCCCAACTTTAACGCCCGTGGGGCACCACTTAAAAATTTTTTTTCGCGAATTTTTTTTCTTTGCCATCCTTTACTTACCAAAAGGCACCCTTTTAGAGGGTCGCACCTCAAAAATTCGGAAAAGTCCAAAATAAGGGCCACCCTAATGTTCACACATTCCTAACTGAAATCATCAATATGCGCTCTTAAACTTCCAGAAAGTGCTTTGCACCAACTTGATTATCATTACACCAGAAATTCTTTACAAACTGTAAATCTTTCTGAAAGACCATGGCTATTTTCTTTCTCAGATGTGTGGTGTTTTAACAAATGTGCAATGAATGGGCCTGAACGCCTGACTCAGCATTTCTCGGATGCATATGCAAGAGACTTGAAACCATCAATCAATATTGCTTTTCGATCTAGGTGTATTTTAGTAAGGTTTCAAAGGTGATCTTTAAAATCTGTCTTCAAGTGAACTTGGTTCAAGTATCTCCTTCATGCTCATAAATTAGAGCTCGCGCATCGTATGTTGAGACAAACGTCAATCTCCGATTATCTCTGAATTCGCACCACTCAACAGGTTAATATATGTAGTCAGGTGGCACTACTGGTGAATGGTGACATAAACAATACTTTGACGTTTGTCTGAACATACGATGTGCGAGCTCTACTCGTTGATTATCCAGCAACCCAACCCTGAGTGCATGTTGATCCGAGCAAGGCCAAAAAATGGAGTTATTTAACCATTGCAATGCCCAGCCTAGTTCACAATGTACTTTCGTATCAAGACCATTCAAAGACTGAGTTTTTCATTTAATTTATTTTATGTTTCAGAATATGATTATGACGAAGTTTTTGGACACTCTGTAGAAGAGGATTGCATCCTCTCTCCTAGTGAACGTAAGTCTTTTGTCGCTCAAATCAGAGTTTGCTCCTTTAACCCTGTTCAGAAAGAGCCTAAGACTATTCATTCTATTTATTTTTCTATCTTAAGTTGATCACAGAATCTAAGTCAGACTCCCTGACCGCCAGTTCAACCGGGCCGGCAGTCTCTCGGACGCATGCAAAAGTAAGCAACATAGAGGAGGCCAAAGCCAAAGGCCTGGTGCCAAAGAAGGGTTCTTCCTGGTCGTGGTGTGCAAAAATCTCCATAGTTAATTTATTTCTACAGAAAAAATGTAATGGGTAATATCCAGAATATTGCAGAATGCATATTGTTGAAATATGAAGAATCCAGGAAAAATTTTGATGAAATGCATAGGTTCGATTTTTGTGTAATGAACGAAATATTAGTGGGGATTCTGAAATACAACAAGCAAAAAGTGCCATTCTCTAGCCTCAATTAGAATATCGCTCCAGGAACTGTTTATTTCCTCATAGCTCCATCAATATAGTCTACACCATGGAAAGTGGCGGCTGAAATGCTGAGTCAGGTGATCTACTGTTCTTTTTAAGGCTGATTGACGTGGGAGACCCTGAGCCCTTGGAGCATGCCAATATACCTGGGTTTCTGCCTTTCAACCATACCCCAAGCCAGTCACTAACTCTACTCCCCCCCCCCCCCCNCCCACTTCCACTTTTCGAGTTGTAGGTAGACCAAAGAAATTCAGAGGATACTATAAAGAGCATTAGTATGTTGGTCCAAACGATCTCCAAGATCCAAGATTTCATATGTCAGGTTACCCTTAGATTGATCTCTAGAACTTTTTATTCATCAATGGACCACTAGACAAGGTACGAATTTAAGCATTCTGATACATGTTTCTTAGCCAGAGTTTCATGTAGAGCATAATTCGAGTTAAGAAACATGTATCAGAATGCTGAAATTCATACCTTGTCCAGTGGTCCATTTTCAATGCTCCTTTTTTTTTCTCTTTAAATTTCACGAAATTCAAGTGAATTTTTTGCTTTTACAGAGGCCTTCATCTACGACCGCTCACGCAGGAACCAGCCACCAGCATATTTCCACGATCAGGAAACTGTGAAAGAGGAGGAAGAGGAAGAGTCGGAGTCAGCGCCCGCAGAATCTGCTGTAAAAAATCTCAGCGATCTAGAAACTGCTAAACTACAATCCTGTTTGGATGAGATCAGGAGTATCATAGGTGATATTGAATCGGATGAAACGATCTCGCAAATTGTCATCAATAATGGATTCGATGTGCATAAAACTCTTGATGTTATTTTGAAAAGGAATGACAATGCACCAACAACTCTAGGTTAGTTACAGAATTCCCGTCATGATGACGATCATTTTTGTGATTGTTCAAAGGGAGATGATTTTATTGTGATTCTAAATGGCTTGTTAATGTTGCAATGAAGGATCGATACTCATCCATTCTGCATTTCACTGGATTCGAGGTCAGTCTAATAAAATCTAATGACTTCGAACCATGTGAAAGACAGAATATTTTAAAGGGCTAATCGCTGCCCAAAAGGCAGTACTACAGTTATGACATTTTTTTTGGAAAACAAGACAAAATGGCCTCTATGGATTTTCATATAATGGAATGGAGATGTTGCATGTGTGAGGAATTTGCAATTTGACCACTGATTCTTATGTAAAAGTTGGCGAGAAACACGATGGTGCCACTGGTTTTCTCTGAAATCAACTCCCAAGCTCAAAAAAAGCTCTCAAAGTGAGGCCAAAATGGAGGGGATATCCCACGCTATTCTGAGAGTCCACTTCTACATCTAGATAAACTCTCCATGCAAAGATAGGGACCAAATACATTAGTAGGGTTGCTGTGTTTTCAGTTATGGAGTCCCCAAATAAAGTGGCAGCCCTGTCATTGTATTTGCTCCCTATCTTTGCATGGAGAGTTTGTCCTGATGTAGAGGTAGACTCTCAGGATAGCGTGAGATATCCCCTCCATTTTGGCCTCAACTTGGGAGCTTTTTGTGAGCTTGGGAGTTAATTTCAAAGAAAACCAGTGGCACCATCGCGTTTCTCGCGAACTTTTACATAAAATCAGTAGTCAAATCGCCTATTCCTCACACATGCAACATCTCCATTCCACAAGAGAGCTCTGTAGTAGTGATCAGAAGATTTTTCTATCATTCAATCCTTACCAATCAATGGTGTAAACAGCGTTTTTGCCACCCCTCGGTGAAAGTTTTTGAATTTAAAATTTCACATCAACAGTATTGTATCCTAGGCAACATTATGGTGGAACTACCTTCAACTACCCCTTTGGCCCTAAAATTTTAGTAAATTTTTGTTACTTACCTACTAAAAATCAGAACCAAAGTGTGGACTGGACACTGCCTTGATTTGTCATGAAAACGAAATCATTTAGCAAGTCTCAAAATCTCTGAAACAATGAGCGTCAGAGACTAACTGGTCTTTGATCATTTTTTCTACCATTTTAAGGTCTGGGTAATATTTTTTTTTGTTTTGTTTTCAAGAAAGTTCAGCAAATTGAGCATTTATCTGTCTGTTTAAAATTTTTAAAATAGATCAGAATTAATAACAAGTTCAGCCATTCATCAATCCTTTGCCTCAAAGCTGAAGAGAACAACCTTGACCCTTTTTCAGGCAGGAATACTTTTTTTTACCAAAGAGTATGCTGCAGGACTCACAAAATTTGAATAGTGACTAAGCAAGTCACATCAAAAAATCTGAAAATACCCAGAATTGATTCAAAGACCTACCCACCAGCACTCTAAATCAAATCATTTATGGTATGAAGAATCCGATGTTTTGCTTGATTATCCATCACACTTCCTTTGTGTTTTTTCAGAGCCTTTGAAACGTCAGGAAGTCCCAAGGGTCAAAACTCCAATAACAGGTGAACATTTTTTTTTTTTTCGCTTTTACAATATGTAATTTTATCTTCTTAATTTCAAGCATTGGGAAACACTCCCCGTAAATAAATAAAAATTATAAGAGCGCACAATCAGTCACATAATGACAGTGGTCATAGACTTCAAAATCTTCATCAAATATTCATTTTTTTTTTAATTTATTTAATAAAAGATTCACAACACAGAACTCAATTCAATTAAAACAAATTCATTTTCTACAACACAGAAACAGATTTTCACTTTAGGGCTTAATCAAAATAAAATAGATCAACCAGTCGCGTAGTGTTCCTGGACTGCTTTGCTGAGGAAGAACACTAATGAGCCTCTAAGTGATGGAAAATTTCCTTTGATGAAGTATGAATCTTCAGGGAAATCTGAATATCTTTCCCCTAATTTTTCAGGGAATATCATTCGTAATCAGATTTTAATATTTTGAAAATTTCAAACAAATTTATTCAAAACTCAGCTTTAAAAAACCATTTTATCAGAGGAAATTTGGCAACTCTGGAATCTTTATATGGCGCGCTTCCTTAGTACGACAATGTAATTGGGCTCATGGTTACTTTTTTGATGATTATCTCATCATTAGGTGTGTATATCAATTCCAATACAATGAACAGAAAATCTTTGTCTTTATTTGACTCAGTTTACATCGCAGCTTATTCTCATATTATCTTCCTTTCTGTTTCATGCTCTCTGTGCTCATTTCTGGCTCATTTTACATCCTTGTGCAATGCATCATATTGTCCTAATGTCTTCAACATAAGGTAAGATGGCTTTCATATCGGTCATAACTGCTTTTTAGTCTTTAAATTTTTGAAGCCTGAAATTTGCGTCTGAAACACACTCATTTCTTCCCCTTTGAAACTCATTCACCCAGACCTACCAGTATTTATTTGTAGCAAAGAATGTCGTCCAAAGAAAGTAAACCTGATCTCCCGGAGTTCTCGAGCTTAATATCGCTAGCAAAAGAATTCCGTAAATCACCTTTTGCCGATTCGAAAATCATGAAGCTTCAAAAGCGGCGCAAACGTGAGGAGTTTCTGTCTCTGGCAGACCAAGCTGCCGCGCACCTTGAAAAAATCCTCAAAAAACGAAAGAAAGAATATGATCAGTGCATTCCCAAGGCCATCAAATTAGTTAACGGCAAGCCGCCATCCAAAACGACCAGTTTGGTCGATTTTGTTGGGAGTGAGGAAGCACCCTTTTTAAATGAGTTGAATGTATTTTTAATGGAAGGACCCAAGCATGTCTCCGTCTGCACTGCTGCAGATGACTTTTCTAAGCTGACCATTGGCAATAAAAATCAAGATAAAGTAGACGATCAAGCTACGAAAGAAGAACTTGATTCTGAGTCGGGGAAGGCCAATTATATTATTGATCTGACTGCGTCAATCGAAAAAGTTATGATCAACGAACCTGTCATGCCAACAGTCAAGGATTCTGTGTTGATCAGTGCATCAGTACAAAGTGCATGGCAAGATCACTCCGTTGATAGCAGTGACTTGGTAAAAACTGGCTCAAATTCTAACTTCGGGAAGATCATCTGCAGGCGTTGGAAGAAATTGAGAAAGCCGCAACTGTGCAATGTGACACCCTCTAAACTTGAGCGGTTTCTTTTCGACTGTCCATCACCGGATGATGAAATTTTAACCCATCTTAGGAAATGAAACCATCGCCAAATTTGTGTTTTTATCATTTTTCCTGGCTTGAATTTTTTCCGTAGTTAGCCATGTATCTTTAACATTTCTCGAGTAGAACTAAATAAATATTAATCATCAGCTAGGTGATCTAAATCGACTAAATTTTTTGAATCATCAGAAAGACATGTTTGTCAGCTAAAATCTCATATCGATGGCCAAGGTGCGAAACAGCGTATCTCCGATTGTGATGTTATCGACTTTCTGTCTAACTCAATTTTTTCCCATGGAAAGACTAGTCAACATTATTTCTTGAAAACTTTCCTAATATTTCCTTTCAGTTACCTAGCAAAGTATTCAGTATGAATTTCGAGCCTTGAAGTTGGCTCGTTCCTATTTGAAAATTGTACAAATCGGAGCGGAAGTCTTAAATCTCCACTGTAAAAATATGTGGTTTTACACTCGGGCCATGGATAGAAACTTGAGGTATCTCTCTATTTACGGTTGTAATATTCATGGAACTATTCATGCTTTGTCAGGAATTAGCTTGAAATTATATCAATCATAAAAAATTATTTTCTTCAATTAAGAATCATTTTATTCAAGAAAAAGACAATCAATCAAATTATGCAATTTAATATTGCCGTATTTTCTCTCATGTTCACAAGAATCTAAGCAACACTGAAACTTGAAATTTTACGAGAGTATTTATTGTGATCAAGTGTAAATTCACAAGAAGTGTAAAAGTGTTTAGAAGTTAAAAAAACTGACAAAAAAATTAAATTCAAGAGAAAATTAGGCATTGTCAAATGCAATTAGATGAATTTTTGTTAAGGCTGCCCAAATGTCCCCAAAGATATGTTCAAGCTTTCATCTTCAGTCATGTCTTAAATCAACAGACAACATTCAATTTTTGTATCTGTAAATATTTGTATTTTGTTACGTTCATTATCATGTAAATGTGTGTAAATAAGTCATACGTGAGAGACCAAAGGTAGTTCAAAAAATGTTTTTTTTTTTAGTTTTGATAAGGTTCTAATCAGTTAATCATGGTATGCTCACGATAAGATTTTATCCTGTATAATCCTGAAAATCTTCTCTTTTTAATTAACCAGGAAGTTTGAAATAATTTTATGCATGAAATGAAATTATTTATTTTTATATTACCTAACAATTTTTTTACAATAAAAGTACCCTCTAATCGCCTTTTATCATGCCTTAGTCATTTTTTTGCAGCATTTTTAACCATGATTATAAATTTGGAAAAAGAAAAAACCTAAGTATATGTAATAATCAATGCCAGGTTCGATTTTAAAAGGAAAAGGAGCAAGAATAAACTGATGAACATTTCAGAGGGATTTTTTTTATCCTAACAACTTTGTAATGTTTTGGTCCATTTTTGCCAAGAGACCTGCATTTTTTGCCGAAATCGACTTTCAGATTCACGATTAAGCCATTATCACTCCAAAGGGGCTTTGCAAATGGCTGAATTGCAATGCACTCTGTAAAAAATCGTAGATTTGGAGGAATTTAAGGTAGATCCTTGGATAGCCCTTCGACAACACTTCTTTGGAGGAATTTAGGGTATATCCTTAGACAGCCTTCAAACAATACTTCGCTCTTGCTCAAAGAAACTACTTTTTTGTCACAACAGTTGGAACCAATCGGCAACATGATTTTTGAATTCTACGCAAAAATTTACTCTGGAAATTGGCCTTTTGTTCAAAAATTCCCGTTTTTGCCGATGCAATTAATTTTTTCATCTAGATTACTCTTTTGCCCCTCTGTGCATGGGTAGTTTCATTTTTCATGAAATTTTGACAAGGGAAAATGTAAAATCAAATTGAAGAAATGATAGGTTGAAGATAGCAGATTAAAAAACGTAGATTCAGATGAGACAAGGAAAATGTTTTATTTACAAAATGCTGAAAATGTATGGAATAAGACGTATCTGCTCATCCTCTTTTGGCACAGTTATGGTCCTACTTTCTTAACTGCTCCAAATTTGCGAATTTTGCCCACTTAGAATATGCTGAAGTGCCTTAATTGTCAAATCCTATATTTTGTCATGAAGTCGTTAAGAATAACCCTCTTAAAAAAAATTTGCGTTCAGAACTTAGGTCCCTCATTTTATTGTTGCCCAGATAAACGAACGTAACTTCATTTCAATCTTGCAAAATTTCCACTCCAAAATAGAAATTTCACCATGGATTTCTAACCTGAAAATTTCACCAATTTTTTTTTTTTTTTTTTTTTTTTTTTTTTTTTTTTTTTTTTTTTTTTTTTTTTTTTTGGTATGTGTGATTACGCGCTAAAATTAAATTAAACTGTCTGAGTCAACTTTGCAACCTCAGAATGGAGTTACATTCCTTTTTCTGGGAAACAACGATTTGGCGGACACTGCAAAACGGTTGAGAAACCTTTGTTAAATGTTTGAAGTCCAAAGTATCCTGAAAGGTAAATAATAGGGGCCGTAACACGCCTAGAAAGTGGGGTAACATTTTTGAAAGTCAGGTTTAAATGCAGTATTTCTACAATCCTGGTACTTGAGCGATTTTAATGTGTTTCAATTAGTTTCCAGCAATGCAGCACCTAGTGATGAGAGCATTCCTGCAGAGGCTACTGTTCCAACGATCACCGTCGCAACGCCCAGTAAAGCATCTAATATAATCAAGGGTTTCAGTGTTCCAAATCAGTCAGGTCAGTCATTTTTTATTCTTGTGTTATTTGATTTAAAAAAAAAAAAACCTACTTAACATCACAACAAAAAATTCCTATTCAGACTTNNNNGGGGGGGGGGGGGGGGGGGGTGTGTCTATAATCCCCTTGAGTGTATCAAAATGAGCTCGCTCATACCGTATCTCTTCTGATTCCGAATCCTGATCCCCCAGAAGATGTGAACGAGGAACAAATTAATGATAAAGAAATGATGGGATTCTACATTATAAGACACTTCAGTTCACAAAAACCAAGAAATCTAGCAGAATCTCCTATTCAGACTAATTCATTAGAAATTAGCAAAACGTAGAGGAAGACAAATACCGAAAGTTCAGAGAGTTAGATTTTAGAGGCTCATTGAGCTCAGAAAGCTACAAGAAGCATCATATCTAATAATATCAAAAAGTCAACCCCGAATTTCTTGGTGTAACGTGTGAAGTCCTTTACCGTCCCTGATCTGACCCAGTTGTCATGCGCATATCAATAGCAAGAATGTGGTTTGCTCTCCAACCAAAGATCTACATTGTCGTTTCCCAAAATTTCCGTTTTCATTTTATTTTTTTGAAGAGAAGCAAACCAACTTTGTAGCTTGAAGTAAATGCTGAATATTCTGCTCACAGAGAAGAAAAATCAAGGAAATCTTTTAGAAATTCATTGGCTAGTTTTCCGAAGAAAACGTAAAATATGACAGGAGGTCTGGAGGTACGTGGTTTTGCGCTTTAGTCATCAAAATGTAAAATATTTCAAATAGATAATTACAATGCAGCAGCCTCGTTACTATATGCAGAGCCCATAATAAAAACTCGCAGAAAAGATTTATTTCAAAATTACGTGTTATTCATTCATAAATGAAGTTTTGTTTTTTTTTTTTTTCTCTTCCAGGCGGCTCCAAACTTAACCTAAAAGATGGCTTTCATTCTCCTCGACCTCAGTCACCAGCCTCAGGAAGATCAAGCCCATTTGATGGCAAAAGTCAAGAAGAAAAATCTGTACCTAAATTTGAAAAACTCGCCAGGAACTTGTAAGTCCTTGAGCTGCAGATACATTAAACCTCACTCAAACCATGATAAATACTCTCTCTTTATACAAAAAAGTGATTCTGAGGTCCCATATGTGCTCACCGTTTTTTTTTTTACAAAATAAAAGATACTTTGTACCAGAAGAAAGGGGAAATGTGTGTGAATCAAAGCTCTGGTTTATTTTCTCTACATACAGTTAATTAAAAGTCGCGAAAATTTTACAACTCATTAATTCCTTTACTTTATTTTTAACAGACATATATTTTGATAGACTCGTGTCTGTCTTCTTCAGCAAGCTGCTAGTTGCGACTAACATATAGGCTGATTTCTAATTTTACTTTCATCGATTATGGTTTTTGCGAGCAAGAAGTTGGAATTTATTGTTTATAATGCAAACTTTAAGCGCTTATTTCTCATTTATGAGTTAATTTTAATAGTTTATGATGAGTTTAAGGTGTGCGGCGTTCAGGAAATTTTTTGATGATGAAACATATGCTGTAATGCCTGAAGTCAAAACTGGAGGATTTCTCGGCAATGCCGCTGATGATAGCAAGCATAACCAGGCCATAATTAGAACGTTGATAGGAATGATCCCCTAATCGTACTGAATCAATTTTTATTTCTTGATCTTTTTTTGTGAACAATTGTAAATGGACGTTAATTTTTTTTCCCTTGTATTGCCTAGCAATGTCAAAGAGAAATGGATGGAGGATCGTGGTGACAGCAAAGAAAACCTCCATATGGTTGTCGTAGGACACGTGGACGCTGGTAAAAGCACACTGGTTGGCCACCTGATGGTTAAAATGGGTCTAGTGTCGTCAAAAGTTCTCCACAAGTACGAGCAAGAAAGCAAGAAACTTGGAAAACAATCTTTCATCTATGCGTGGATTATGGATGAAACAGGAGAAGAGAGGTGAGTTCAATTCATTTAAACGTTGAAGTCAGGTTGTAAAATTAGATTTTTAGAAAGGCAATAGCTTCATCCTCTCGGAAAAACCTTTGAACTTTGGTCAAACCAGGAAAGTGAATTTATTTTGCACCTAAAAATACTTGAATTTGGAAAAATTTATAAACTTCCCATGGGTGCATCCAATATCCTTTTAATGGTGGACAAAATCCTTTAAGAGAGAATGAAAAGAAGTAACAAAGCTGTGTGGTTTTGGTAAGTTTTCAATATTCATAGGGATGTGGCTTTGTACTTCTGAAAAATAAAAAGCTCAGCATGCCTGATATGATATGCATTAAGTACACTTAGAAATACTTTAATATCTATTTTTTAACCATCTCAAAGCAGCTTTGATGAGTAAATTTTAGCTTTGACTTGACTATAGAAGAAGCCATCAGGGAAACTGTTGAAATTTGTAGCATATGTTGAACCTCTAAATCGTTGATTCTTGGTAAATCTGTACCCTTATTTTAAACCTTGCAAATCAGGTTGAATCAGAAAATGTATCGTCTTTCTTTTTAATCCATACCTAGTATTGTTAAACTCCACCAACCAAAGTCACAAAGTGTAAATCTATAACACCCAGAAAGTACTCAGAGACTTTAACTTTGTTTCTTAATGCTCAGTAAGATTATCAAGCTTATGATACTCTATAATATAGGAAATCCTAAGAGTAAAGTTAAACGCTTAGTAAGTATGTAAAGTTACGCTACGTAAGTACGTAATGTAGCGCTTAACATAAAGCAATTCTTTGGGATGGATGGCAAATTGGTCAGGGGACATAGTAGTTTTGTGATTCAGCACTTGCAAGGGAAAGAAAGCTAGCCTCTAAAACCGTGATTTCAATAGAATGAAAGTTGGCCTTGAGAGGGGTCAACTCTCATTCTATGAATTGTTGGGTTTGAAAATTGAAGACTTTAATTGTTATTTTGATTTTTTTCAGGAACCGAGGTATTACGATGGATATTGGGTTTACCCAGTTAGAAACGAAAACAAAAACAATTACGATTCTGGATGCTCCTGGCCACAAGGATTTCATTCCCAACATGATAACAGGTACACATTTTCAAAGCAAAAATTATGACAAATTCATTGAAGCAAAATTGCTTACTAACCGTTCTCGTTCATTAGATATTTCTATCAATTCAGATGCATTTGACATTAACAAGAGCCTTCTCAGTGTTGCCCAGGACACTCGCCAACAGGGCCAATGTTCAGTGAACAGATGTAATGAAATAATTTGCGTTTCTGAAACTATTTAATTTAGCTTAGAAGAGGACTCTCATTTGTTCCTTTGCTTTCAACTCTTTAAAGCCTTTGTTCCTTCAAAATGATAAAACATCGGAGACGCTAAACATCTTATTTGAATTCCTAAGTCAAAACTATGAGACAAACTGATTATGTGGAAATTAAATAGCCAAAACTCATGTGAACTTTAATGAATGTTTTTTAATCCATTAGTATCATCGGAAATTTGGATCGGGCCATTAAAGATCGGAATGTGCAAGGCAGGAAAGCTATCGCGATGCTAAATGGGGTTCTCTGGGACCAGAGTATCTCCAAGGAGACCAAAAGGAAAATTTACAACGTCATCGTGAAGAGTATCGTAACTTACGGGAGTGAGGTCTGGCAACTTAAGAAAAGAACTGAAGACATGCTTAGGGCAACCGAGATGGACTTTTGGCGAAGGTCTGCTGGGATATCGAGAAGAGAGCGTATCCGCAATGAAAGGGTACGCGAGATAATGGGTGTGGAAAAGGACATCGTGCACGATATCAGGTCCAAGCAGTTGGTCTGGTATGGACATGTGCGAAGGATGGCAGATGATCGGTTGCCCAAGCAGGTCTTCGATTGGGTTCCTCCCGGAAGGCGACGGCGTGGACGTCCTGTGAAATGTTGGCGACAAGGGGTGGAGGAGGAGATCAGAAGGTGCCAATTGCCTGATGATCTCTGGGAGGATAGGGGGCAATGGCGATTGGGCGTCGCAGAGCGCGAGGCGGCGCTATAATCGCGACTTTATGTATGTATGTATGTATGTATCATCACAGGTAGGTACTACATGAATGTTTTCTGAAAGTTATCAAAAGGATTGTCCTCGATGAGCAACCTGGATTTAATCATCAATGTAAAGACCTCATATTATCTTTTCTTATGTGTCCTATCTAAATTGGTTAATCAGGTGCAACTCAAGCAGATGTCGCGTTGCTGGTTGTGGACGCAACAAAAGGGGAGTTCGAAACTGGTTTCGAAAGCGGAGGCCAAACACGAGAACATGCACTTCTGATCAGATCTTTAGGTATGAACATTCAATGTTTTCTTTCAAGGTCTCCCTTTCCTGTGTCGCAGTAAGTTTCCTGATTTTCTAGGTTTTTCGGATTGCCGAAAACCCCAAGAGGTCAGGTTTACTGTGACCCAGAAAAGTCAGGGAATTTCGCAAATAGCACATCAGTTCAGCAGACGGATCTCATGCCTTGCAAAAGAGTACAAATAACTTAATAGTGCATTTTACCATTTTTCGACTCTGCAGGAAATGGAATTTTATCTCAAGTTTAGTTTAAGTCAATGTAATTTCAAGAAAACAATCCAAGTCGAAGTTTCTCTCGGAGGTCAGGGAAAGTAAAGAAGTGCAGAAACTTTGGAGTCAGGGAAAAGTCAGGGAATTCAAATCTCTTTTACCCCTAAATGGTCACTACTATGCATTTCGATGAGTCTGGATTTCAGCCAATTGAGTAACTTAAAAACCTTGACTTTTGTTGACCTCCTATGGTGCAGTGGTTGTAGTGCTAGCTCTATGATCGGGAGATCTCGGGTTCGATTCCCGGCCAGGCGACCTGAGTTTGATGGTCTCAAACAATGGTTGCCTGGGGCTGGTTGTAGGGACGGAGGGGGACGGGACTAAAGTGCAGGATCAGCCCTTGTGGGCTATTTGAAGTAGTAAAAAAAAAAAAAAAAAAAAAAAAAAAAAAAAAAAAAAAAAAAAAAAAAAAAATTGAATTTTGTATTAGCCGTACGATTCCATCCAATCTTTAAATGAAACTTGAATTATCATTATTTTTAATGAAACAACAACGTTTTCTGGGGAATGCCGCATTAAAATACAACAAATATAAAAGAAAAAACCGGAACAGTTAGAAATAATTCAAATCTTCAACTGGGGAAAAATCAAAAATTGAGTCTGCGATTTGCTATTACTGCAAGATCGATTATTTCGAAACGTCTCATTCTTCTTCTTCTTCTTCTTCTTTTTTCCTTTTTTTCTTTTTTTTTTATCTATTGTATTTTAGTGCAGCCTTTCCCCTCAGATTAAGTCGTTATTTTATCAATTTTTTTCGCTAATTCAGTTGTTCTTCATTATTTGGAACATGTTCAAAATATATTCATCTTGTTTACTTGTAACCCACTAAGTCCTTTTTTTTTTGTACCCATGTTTTTAGGAGTCACTCAGCTGGGAGTTGTTATCAATAAACTAGACACTGTGAATTGGTCAGAAGATCGATTTAATGAAATCGTAGCACTATTGAAAAACTTTTTGAAGCAAGCAGGATTTAAAGATTCAGATGTATGTTATGTCCCTTGTTCTGGCATGAGTGGGGAAAATTTGACAACTCGCTCTAATGACCCGCAGTTTGCGTGGTACCAAGGACCAACTTTATTAGATGTTTTAGGTAGTTATAAATACTAGTTGCCACCTACTTTCTCTCCTTACTTTAGTTTCCATGTTTTCATACTCATGTTTTCTATCCAAAAGAAATTCGGAAAATATTTTTAACCTCCCTCTTTTGCTAATTTATCCTCTCAAATTTATTCTCCAAAAGTTATTTTTCGTCTAAGTACGCATTCATTCTCTGTACCTTTTAAACTAAGAAACACATCGACAGTGAAACTGCAGGAATGCAAATCTTGGTCTGCGATGTTACAAACTTCCTGTCAATTTACTGCATTTTTTAAATTGAAAAATGCTTAATTCTGTGGAAATTTTAAGCAGTAGCATCGGTTCATGTTCCTTTGGTGGAATAGAAAGGGAGTAGAAGTTTTCAAACCCTGAAAATGAAATACATATTCCTGCAATTTCTTTGTTGCCATATCCATTCCATTAATTGTTTTTATCCCTCTTTTTTTGAGTCAGTAGTGAAACCAGATTCCTCATTTCTAAATTATCTATCACATTAATTTAACTTCTTAAGTAAAGATCCTGAAATTGGTTTGAATTCATCTGCAAAAACCACAAACAATCGGGAGATATAATTATTTTATCGTTTTCCAGACAAAGAAATGTAATTTTGTTTCAAAGTTTCAAAATTGGCTCAAATATTTACTATATTACGAGAGTGAGATTCTTCAATATACATCCAAAATTTGACTGATTTTTGCCTCTTGATAGAAGATAAAACAGTGAAATTTTTCGATTAAAAGTTTCTTAAATGGATATTGTGAATGAATATTTTGCGATGTTGAAATGTAAAAACGTTCTTTCGTCTATGAAATGACGATTTTCCTCCTTTCCATGTAACCCAAGTAATGTGAAAAAAATAACTCTCAAAGATGCTGAAGCTTAACTTCACTTCAAATAAAAAACTATCCTGCCGACAGATGGTATAATGTCACTCGTCAAAATAGACTCCCTTTGTCTCACCAATATCATTGACAACCGGATTCCTTTCGTCTAAGTTTATATGTCTTGTGTTAAAAACCAATTAAAAACTAAGAAACTAAGTTTTTCCAAAAGCTTTTGTATTCTTTTATGAGCCCTAAATATTTCAAGTTGACTAATCAATTTAGAGTCATTGAACATCAGATAAATTTAATAATTTCCTTTTATAATTCCTCCTCCATTTTCTAGAGAACTTCAAATGTCCAGAGAGATCAATCGAAAAGCCTTTTAGAATGACTGTCAATGATATATATAAAGGGACTGGCTCTGGATTTTGCGTCTCAGGTCAAATAGAAACTGGTGCTCTATTAGTGAACGATAAAGTGCTAGTTCAGCCGCAGAATGAATTAGCGTCCGTAAAAGGTATGCCTCATTGTAGCTATTTTGTCTTTGCAATGTTCTTTTTTTCAGTCTCATGGTAGAGGTTCATTCCAGTAAGACAGATGGCACAATTGTATGAATATAAGGCAAATTTTCCACTGATTCTTTTTAGATAATTTCAGGAATGACGTGTTCCGAAGAAATAACTTTTTGAGCAAAATAATAAGGCCCATCTGCATTTAAAATTACACCACTCTCTCTCAATAAAGTTTTAGAGAGAGGTATTATGATCGGTAGGACCCAAATTGGAAGTATGCTCTTTTCCATTGTCTATAGTTCTCAAGTTTGATCAACCTACTCAGAAAGATATTAGCAAAAATAAAAGGTTGGAGGCAAAATTATAAGATTCCGTCTGTGATTTCCCGTGATTTTAACTGCAACAAATTTAAGGAGAATGATAAAAAAAAACTTTAACTCCGTAAATTTCTAATTTCAGGTTTGACGATCGATGAACTTCCTATTCAGACCGTTTATGCAGGAGACAGTGTCAGTATAACACTTGCTAATTTTGACATTCAGAATATTTCAATTGGAAGTGTTCTGTCTGATCCTTCACAACCAGTAGCTGTCACATCCAAGTTTGAGTGTCGCATTGTCGTATTCAATATCCAAGTCCCAATCACCAAAGGTTTTCCTGTGAGTAAAAGTTTTTCCTCAGAATATCTATTACCAATGCAGTTGATCACGCGCATTTTCAAGTTCGATTAAATGACAGCTTTTTTCTTAATGATTCAATGAAATAATGAGGCTGAAAAGTATTTCTGTTTTATTCTTTGTTTTACTAATCTTGAGAAGGCTGGAGTGAATAAAAATACATTTTACTTTGTTTTCCCTCTTCTCCATACCTCAGATAAATAATTCATTTGCATCCTTTAGTAGCGATTTAAATTTAAGGGTCATTTGGAAAGTCCGGCGCGATTTGATTTTTCCCAGCAACTATCAATGCTAGGTAAAATCCAAATACACTGTTGCATTTTTAATACTCTCAGCTTCAATTTAATTTTTAAAGCATTTTTTTTACTACTAGAGGCAAACAATGTACTACTGCTGAAACAACATGCCCTTGAACGAATATTGCAGGAATTTCAATGAAAATACCACAGTTAAATTACAATTAAAGTCAGTTAAACTGCCCAGCTCTAATTTTTTTTCAAACCATCCAATGTAGAGAATTTTTTTGTGCAAATGCGTCCAAATACCGTAAGTTGAGAAGGATATTTCACATATTATGATTTCAGGCTCTTGAAATCGTTTTCTGTCCGGTCTAAAAATTTACCGCTTTAATTTTTTCAGGTGATAGTGCATTGTCACAATGTGATGGAGCCAGCAACAATCAAGCGAATCAATGCAGAATTGAATCGGAGCTCAGGAGCTGTGGTGAAGAAAAAGCCGCGCTGTCTGGTGAAAAACACAAGTGCTCTTGTTGTCATAGAAACCTCTCGTCCAATCTGTTTAGAGAAATATCAGGATATCAAGCAGCTTGGCCGCATTATGCTTCGGGTTTCCGGGTCAACTATTGCAGCTGGTCTCGTCACTCAGGTAATTCCTAAATTCATTTGTATTCTAAGTTCATCGCTCCCCTCTCAAAAGAAGGTAACTAAATTTCAATGTTACCAAATTTTTCTTCCCAAATTTCATTTTTACTCTGAGAATCAAGAGCATTTTCAACCGAAAACTTCACCGATTTTTCATCTGATCTCACGCAAAAATCAGACAAGTTTTGGCCAAATTGCACAGGTCCATTCTTGTAAAAAATGTAATTGCTGTAGTCAGTTTTGCCACCTTGGAATGAAGTTATGTTCCTTTGTGCGGGAAAAGACGAATTGTGACAGTCTATGGATGAGGGCGAGGGGCCTCAGCACTAAAAGACTCTGAACTGAGAAGTTGGCATAGGAGTTTTTTATGGAAAAAACCTCCTTTAAAAAATGTTTTTTTGAAATGTAAAGTGAAGCAATAGTTAATAAGCTACAGTGAATTAAAAAATAAATGCAACATATTGTCACCTTTTGGCCGAAATAAAGTAAGAGCTGCATGTGCTTAACACCACGTAGCCAAACTTCTCAAACTTTTCCTAATTTTTCTCGGAAAAACAAATGAACAGTATCACTCAAAAATTTCACCTAACATTTCTTATGTCATCAAGATCACCCTTGAAATTTCCACGAAAGTATGGGCAAAAGTTTTAAAGAAAAAATTAACATTGTATTGAGAGGTCCAGCAACGAAGCATCTAATCTTAAATAGCGCTTTTGATACCTCTGCAGAAGGTGACAATACGCTGTTCCTACAAAGAACTTTTTTTATACAAAACTAAGTCTTGAGGTAGAAACGGCAGTAAGCGATTGGAATTAACTAAAAGTCAGTAGCCTTTTCATAAATTTAAGTAAAGAACTAAACCTCCGGTAACCTCTAAAAAAATGCAACACGTTATGAAATCAGTTTTCTCCGATCAAAATGAAAATAAAGCCTCCATCCATCAGGAAAAAATAAAAATTTAAAAATCGATCATCTCTAAGCGGTGAACTCGATTACTCGAAAGATAGCATGGCAGACCTGAGACAAATCAGTGTAAATTCTAAGAGTTTGCACTTAATTGGCATTAATGGTATCCATAATGTGCGATTTGCATCAGCAAGATTGCAATAAGTGGCGATCGGATGTTGCAGAGGGCCCAGAAGCACAGCAGCCTCAGAAGAAGAAAAAATTAAAATGTGATCAAGTGTAATATTCTCTTGCACTAATTTTAATCATACTTTTTCTGTTGCAGATTTTCTGAATACATTTTACTCTAATTATGAAGCTCAAGGAAATTCCAAGATTTCTTTAATAATAAAAAATTTTCTGAGAACTCTAAGTTCCACTTTGAATGGACCGCTAGTCAGAGTATGAGGGTATGACACTGGACACAATACATTTTTCTCATCAAAATTTAGTGTAGAATACGTTGAACGCATTATGAACACTTACCATATTCAGCGCACAAGTTGGAAAATTACGGTTTTTGTCTACTTTCATTTGCACTTCCTGCTCACTGAGAAACCTGAGTCCACTCGAGGGAAATTGAGCACTGAACTAATTTTAGTTTATTTTACAATGGAAGAATGTTTCCATGTACTATTTGTTTTTCTACAAGATTAAGAGTATATTGTATCAAAAGAGGAAGGAAGGTTGCGCGAAAGTAAGTTCTGGTTATTTGCCTAACATACAGGTTGATTTTATTGCCCAATTTGGCTTGTATTGATTTTGGTTTTATCACGAGCGGGTTGTTCGACTTCTCTGTTGATAATGTAAACTATGAACGTTTATTTCTCACTTATGAGTTAATTTTATACATTTTTAAAATGTTTAATGTGTTCTACGTTGAGTTCTGTTGAAAGAACATGTGCTGTAGTGCTCATTATCTTACCCTGTCCAGTGGTCTACTAGCCACAGGCTGTACAATAAAAAATTTCATGCCAAAATATTCAGTAAGTTTTATTATCAACAGTGAGATACCAGCGTCAGGACGCTAAGCTTATTTATATAGCTAATCATTCAATTTTGTGATATATTTATTGATTTACTATGTATTTTTTAACAAAAAATCTTGGTACTTTTTTACAATCTTTTCTGTATTGATTACATACAGGTCGTCTTTTAGAGTAAATTTTTTCACTCCTATCTTATAAGTACTCAGTTGTTTTCTAGGGCAATTTTTCAGCGTCATCAAATCTTTAACAAAATAAAGATTTTAGGCAAATCATTGTAAGCTGTGTCATTATTTCTTATTTCACAAAAACCCTGCAAGCTTTTTATCACCAATGAAACTACATATATCTGTTGCAGTGTTTCAAAATCTCTGTTCCTTTTTTACTTTTTAAACAAACAAACATCGTGGTTTGAAATTCTGCCCGAGTGTTTTTATAATTACCTTTCTAGCCTTGCAGTCCCCAAACAAAGTGGCAACTCTGCTAATGGATTTGATCCTTATCTATGCATGGAGAGTTAAACTGGATTCAGAGGTGGACTCTCAGCGTTGCAAGAGGGATCCTTTCTATTACGATCTTAACTTTAAGAGGTTCTCTTGAGTTTGCTCCGGAGAAAAACAATGGCACCATCATGTTTCTCGCAAAAGTTTAAAAATGGACAAGGACTCAAATCGCAAATCTTTGGCATACGCAAGAGCACCATTAAAATGTAATCAAGGTGACAAAAAGAAGTAAGAATAATGTGTAGTTTCAACTATAAAATAGATTTCAAAAAAATCTTGTATATTTTTTATTAATAATGACAGGTGGATACAGAAAAAACTAGAAGTGCACTTGAAGGTTACAAAGTTGTTCCACCCTGTAAAAACAATGAAAATGAAACACTCAACAATGAATTGCACAGACAATATAAACATCTTTCAAAAAAAAAAAAAAATTAAAGCACGGTCAGTCTTACAATTTCTTTGAGAATGGTGCGTTAAATGTTCAAATTCAGCAGACAGAATTTCTTGGAATACATCATTATGAAATGAAACAGCAAGAGGCAACTGAAGTTAGGACGAGAGGGAAAGAGCAGGAGGTGGTTTGCTTGCATTGCATTGTTGGTACATCTCACTTTACCGTTTATTCAATGACTCAAGAATGGTCAAGTGTATTCTTCTAAGTTTTTTCTGGTTAGAAAAACGGTGGATCCAATTGCAATGCAAAGAAGCCCCTTTCGCTCTAATTGGTTCAAACATATTTATCTTTGTTTAAAAAAATAATAAAAAGAAAAGGACAAGCATGAGGAGTTGAATTAATAACAGATAATACTAAATTTTAAAAAAAAGTGATAGTTTACTCTGATAAAAATAGATTTATGAGAATTCTCAGTCTGAAGAAATGTATGGTACATGATTCATTTGAGCAGAAATTAGGAACCTCAGATAAGTTAGATATTGCTTCATTTAGAAGAATCTTAGGCGTGGTTTTGCGAAACACATATGCATTCGTGAAACACCCCTGAAAGGTCATTTATTGTAGGAATTAAAAGGTCCGTGTGAGGCTCCTCTTAAGGATGCCACTAAAGGTGCGCAAGCTGATCATTCAGTCCATGAATCAGAGCAGATTCAGTGTGGAACTTGCGGTACCGACTTCCATGCTGTAAGTGCCAGGCTTGTTTTTCAGACCTGTAGATACCCTGTATAATTTATTTGCAATGATATACAAAGGAGAATGTTTCCAGATTGGCTTTAAATGAACCCAATCGAGGGTGACAAAATATATATTTTCAGTTCCTTTGTGAAAGCTGAAAGTTACTAGAAGGCAAGAGAATGGTCGCTAGCATAGAAGTGACACAAAATGAAATAACATCGACACATAAAGAACTGGTGAAACAGAAATAAAACCTTGTAATGAACTTTAGTTGTAGAATGCCAAAGGACCCTGCATGGAAACTAAGGAATCCACGGCTGGGTAAATTCGTTAATGCTTAGTATAATGTTCTTGATGACTTCATCAGTATGATGAGCTTCTAATATCGAAATTTTTAGGTGCCATAGACGAGAAAAGTGGGGCTGAGAGTGATTTTTTTCTGCTTTCTTGGATGTGCTTTCATATAGAGACGTGTGCCTGCCATAGTTTGTGTGTTGATGCTGTGATCATTTGAAAGAATTTGATTCTTTTAGAGTAGTCTCTGTGACCAATCAGGAAAGAGCTCTCCTCAGACTCTTGTCTGATGTCGCAACATTTCAACCAAAAATTGCTGCAAAAATCACTTTTCAGCCCTCTTTTCCTCGAAATAGACCACCAGACAAGATATGAATTTTAGCATTGTGACATATTTTCTTTAAAATTTCACAAGGAACACAATTAGCACAACGAAAATGACTAACATGGACTCCTATTCTAAACATTAACAGTTTTATCTAGCATTGGTTACAAAAAATTTGTATCTCCCGCTCACAGAAAACGCCAGTGTCTGCTCGAGTCAAATCGCGCTCTACAACAATTTGGCCAGGCTTTACAATATAGTAGTGCAGAGTGTAGCTCCCTTCATTATCAAAGTGTAAACAATGTGTGGCAGCTGAGCCAAAGCGCGGAGATTGAGTTCGCCATATTTTCATACTGCAGGGACAGTTACAGTAAAGCTTTGTGTGCAATTTAACCCAAAAAGATTATAGTTTTTCTATGATGAGCAGGAAGTTGGAATTTATCCATTTAGGAACGTTCATATCTTGTTTGGGAGTTACTTACGATAAATTTCCTTAGATAAATTGTGTTCTACTTAAAATTCCGATGAGACAAATATATCATAATGCTTAAATTTTCACCTTAAGTAATGTTCCATCGGCATACAGGAAGTTCAAATTTTAAAGATTACAGTACACAGGAGGTTGTAAGCAGCATTACATCATCAGATTATAATGAAATTTAGCCGGCGCCGAATTACCAAGCACGGTCCTTTGACATATTCACAGTCAGTGCCCAAATTAAAGGAAATTGGCTCCTGCAAAACCTGTGCAAAAAAAGCAATACATATTAAATGGTTACCATCTGACAAATTAGCATGATTTTATTCAATTTGTGATGACTAAATTAAAATGTCTAATACGCCACAGAAGTAGATCGATGCATAGTGATACAAAATGAGGTCAATTTTTTCCACCTTGCCATTTTGATTATTAATGAGCGGTCCACCCATCCTCGTTACTTCAGAAATGATACTCATTACCAATAAGTTTGATTTACAGACGTGTTGTTTTTCCCACCCTTACATTTTTCTTTCATTCTTCCCCAAAATTACATTATTAATTCGATACAATTTTTTTACATTTTAATAAAAATTATTACAAAAAAAATTTCCTCTAAAAATATCGCTGAGTATTCTATATAAGTGCATGTATTTATAAAGGCTTTAGAAAAGTTCAGGGTTTGTCCACAAATCTCACAATGCTCCGAGGACAAAATAGGGGAGTAAAGGAGCGTCATTCAGTCACATTTTATCGTTATTCTACCGTTGACTCTTCGGGGAAAATACTAAAATATATCGACAGCTGAAGCAGATGGAAAAAAGTGAATCTCAAATAACAACATTGAAAGTCTCCGCTCATATTTTCATTTTTAGAGAGAAAACCAACCAACAGCTACTATTCATAATTTCTGTGAGAAATCTTTAGTTACTTATAAAAATCACTCAAGATTGCAAGAAAAATTCAGAATTATTTTTTTGGAAAAAATTGAAACAGAATTGGAGATTTTTAAATGTTGAAAGTGCAAAATGGATAGTCTATATTTAGCCATCGATGTATCTTTTTTGTTTTTTGATTTATTATTTTTCCTAAACAGCAATGTAAACCCTCTTCATTAATCTGTAAAAGTTGCTTCGATTGAATTTGCTCATTGAACGCTCTTTTCAGTAGATACTGTCAGAGTTTGCTGAGTAAAATTTTAAGGAACGAGCGCAGCACATTTTGGTGCAAGCATTGTAGGGTGGGTTGATGAGGAGCAAAAACTACATGATTGACTTTACAGAATTTATGGACAGCCCCTTACAAGAAGTTGAGGTAGTGCTAAAAAAAAATTGGACCATTATACTTAAAAGTTAATGTATGGTGAAAGAAAAAAATCTCTGTAGACATTAACAAGTTGATTAAAATCCAATCTCATAAATTTATACGGTTAAATCCAGTTGAGTTTTGAGGAGACAAAAGGTAAAACCTTTCCTATCACCTTCAATGATCAAAATTTAAGAATTGCAGAAAAAATCAAATTTGATAACGAAAATAGATGAGAACAAAAGGCACATAACGCAACGAGAATAAAATTTAAATACTCAACTTAACAAAATATCAAAACTTTTTCCGTTTTTAAACAAGTGAGGTCCTTTCGTCAACATAAAACTTTACACGCAATAACTGAAAAATATTGTTTTTAACAATTTTATAAAACAATGTACATATTACTCAACTTATCATGAAAATTTATTTTTTTGGTTGGAGCACTTTCCTTGCGATGGGAGGAAGTTGGTGAAATTATAGCATAATGATGTTTTTGCCGAAAATGAAAACATTCTGTTAGGAACAAACATTTCTCGGAGAGGAAAGTTGAGTCTTCATTCTGCCTAGCCCCTGGCTCTTAAGTTGGACGGATGCAAAGCTTTTACTTCGTAGGGCACTTGAAAAATAGGACAAAATTAAGGAAACAGGAACTACTTCAAACATCCTCACAGTATAGAAATATGTATTCCTTGCATCAAATTTTACTTAGATAAACAAGAACCAATGAAACTGAAATTTATCATTTTCCAAGTCAGAGCTACAATCCCCCCCCCCCTCCCTTACACCTTTTTTTCAGCCCTTCTTCTCAGAAATTCCAACCTATCTTTTTAGCCTAAAATTGGACCAGCATAAGCTCATTGAAGAGACTGACGCATAGGGACAGGTCTGACTTGATTTGTCAGTTTTTATTGTGAGATTCATGATTTACTACTTCTTCCAAAACTTCCAAGGGTGAGTGCAAATGCAATGAAGTTCCGTTGAATTTCTGAATAATATGATCTTTGTTGACGTTGGAAATTTTAGAGGTATTAAACCATAGTTAGTTTTACTCATGGTGGAACGACAATCTTCGTCAAAAAAGTATTCCTTACATAAGGCATTAAAATTTACTGAATATTCTTTTTAAAATTGAACTTTTGATACCTTAACCTTAACTTTAACTTGATAAAACTTCTTTGTATTTCAAATTATTGACAGAAAAAAGGAATTGAATTGAAAGTGACTTTCTCAGACAGAATTAAATTCGAAATAAAAAAGGGTTATTACCCAAAGGCCAGAATTGTATTTTCTTGCCCTTTCGTTAAAAATTGTATCAAGATAATGAAACAGGACACCAAAGAACTTTAACACCATTGCCTACAGAATGTGGTTACATTACCGGTGCAACAAACCTAAATTTCCCCAAAAATATCTGAAAATTGTACAGATCACTAACCTTGCTCTAACCCTATTGAATAAATAGACCTCAAAAAATCTTACAAACATTTTTATTACAATACAATTATACAAACAAGATAAGAGTCAGCCGAACCTCTACTATAATACTTTTCTGACTTGGCTAGCCCTGACCTACCAACTCAGACTAAAAATAGCCCGGCAGCAAAAAAAGGCAAAGATTCCTGTCTCTGCAGATGATTATATTTTCAGCACCAATAAAAAAATGATCTGCAGATTCGGATAATGGTGAAGTTTCTTGCCGGTTAAGAGGTTAGTGGCTTGATAAACCTGAACACAAAAACCCGCGCCTGGTCAAACGATGTTTGCAGTAATTGCTAGAATTTTTTCGAACCCCCAATGGCAATTGCATTACTGTGCATGTACATGTAAATCATGATACCAGCGATGACTGCTAATAGTGCTAGTGTGATTATCGACAACCGCTGATTGTTCTGGAGGTCTTGATGGAGTTTACCGTTGCATTCATTCAGTCTTGTAATCTATGGAACAAAAATAAATAATTACTTTTCAAGGTGATGGACACTAACACATGTTAAATCGTTAAATTTTCAGTAATATTCGCTTCTTTAACGAACATACTTGATAGAGTGAAGGCATTTAGTAGATAAACATACAACGAGGACTGTTATTACTGTTGCTGAGTTTTCTCTGAGTAAAATTTCGCCTAACTTCTCATTTATCCTTCATTACCCATCACTTGTCAATTGGACTCCATTTTGAAATTAGGATCTACAATTTCTGGCTCATCCAGAAAAACAATTAAAGGCGTAGGAAAACTAATGGTGCATACATTGTTTCTAAACTGAGCTAGAAATTGTAGTTCCGGATTGCAAAATGTAGTCTAATTGTGCTGTCACCAGCAAGCGTACCCTGTGCGGCTGATACAGAAAATACTTTAGAGGGCATAAAAAAATCATACATGATTTTAGGCAATGATGATCGGTCATTCTTTAAAACTACACTCATTCCTTCTGTCCTCCAAGCCCCTGAATTATCAAGTCTTGGTAAATTTGTATCTTGCGTTGCATATACATACTAAAGTGCTGATTCAAAAAGTGAATGTTTTCCTACTCTTCTCCACATCTTTTTTGCAATTTTCTTTAACTACTTTAAAATTTCTTTGATAAATAGTACTTTCTGAGAGCAAAAGTAATATGCACATAAACAGAAAGCAGTGTTGGTGATAAGTTTGCTATGTATGACATGAAATTGTATTTTGACAGTTGCAAAACACAGAACAGAATCCTTTTCAAAACCAAGTTTTCAATAATGAAACCAAGTTTCTAATGTTGTACATCTAATTCACAATTATTTGGAATGCAAAGTGGAAATACTTTGTCATCCTTAGTGATGTCCCATCGGTTTTCAGTGAGCTCTTCAGCAAGGAAAAAATCTCCTTAATCAAAACACTTACCATGGTGAATAGTTTATCTATCTTTTCATTTACGTCCACAGGAGCAGCGCCATTCATTCTAAATCTTACATTTGTGGCTGAGGAAGTTGCATAATTGTTATTGCCAACGTATGGGTCCGTTTCATCGCACTCGACTGCGCATCGGAGCCGATAGTTTTCTGCATTTTTAGTGTTAGCCGCCTGAAAGATGGGGCAAAATTTTTCACATAAATCAGTAATCAAGGACATGCTAAGTCACAATCATATCTGTCAAGTCTATGCAGATGAACTCTTGGTTTTCAAAATACTAAAAATATGAGGAGTACTATTATCTCCGCCCCTCACAAACAGCAGCTCAATTTATCATCAAAATCATAACCTCATAAACTAAGTATATTTCCTTTTGGGACAGTTTGTACAACAGTCTATTAATTCCATTATCTATGAGGGATTGTTTTTTCTCTTTCCTTTTTACAGCCTGGCAAACTAAGCAGAGCCCAGGTAGGTTGCTGGAACTACATATCGACGTTGAAACTACCAGACCACGTATCTCGATTTGCTATGTCGTAGACGTCCTGTCATAATTAATTCTTTAGATGGAAAACTACCCAACATTAATTCTTGAAAACTTCCGTGATTTTTCTTCGCAGTGTCAAGAAAAATCTGTGAAAACTTTAAGGGTTGATATTCGTTTATTCTCGTCCACAAAAATACGTAAAACGAGAGCAGAGATTTTTAAACACCGGAAATGAGATACGTGTTCTGGTAGTTTCACCGTCAATATTCATCCTCTAGGCTTCCTTTACAAGGACTAGGCCAAGTGGAATCTATTTTTGGTGATACACTAACCGATTTTTGGAAGATTCGTTGCCACTACGAGGATTCAAACCCAGAACCTTTTGACCTAGAGTGCTGACTACAAGGCCAACCTAGCCGGCAATTTCTATAATTTAAAAGAAAACGGTTCTGTTAAAAAACTCAATTTACCTCAATAAAATAAAATGTGGTTCTAGACATGTTTCCAGGCTGATGCAGCTCCTTTATCAATAGCACAATCAATGCTACTGATAAAGGGGATGGGACAGTCTCAAAACACTTCTAGCGCCACTTTTTACTTTAGTGAGGTTAATTGAGTCTTTTAATAAGACTTTTTTCTTTTAAATTATGATTCCTCCAGGTTTTTTTGTCTTGATTTTACAGTTTTCATGGCAATTTCTATTTCAATGGCTAACCTCCTGAAGCGAGTGTTTAGTGTATGTGGTATTTTTGTACTTGCCAGTATTTTTCTTATTCATTCTCTGTGATTCAACTGGAAAAGGCAAGAGAATTTAGTGATAAGACCATTCTAAACACCAAAAATGTTTCTGGTCATTCCTGCAAAATACTTAAATCGATTTATTTAAAAAGATTTATTTAGCTTGAATATCCTGTTTCAGAAAAATACTTATGACAATACCTTCCAGAGAGCAGAGAGGGCAATACTGTCTAAATCTATGCTTTCAACAGGCAGACACATGATGAGAAACTTCTCTTTCATTATTTGATTGGGTGTGAAGTCAGGCAGAACGGTGACCGTGATGGCTACCATGCCTTCCACGCCGAGAATACTGATACTGGGATGGACGCGGAACTTCTCCGGTGAAGTTGTTTTTATCTGGAGAAAAAATAAGATGCTCAAAATTAGTCATCTACTGTACTTTCCAGAGGCAGCCCTCCCTTTGGACTACAAAATTTCTACAGTAGTAATTTTTTCTTTTTTACATGTTGCACAGCATTCACTGTAAATGCATACCGAAACACATCGGCGGGTACTTTCCTGATTGATTTTAGGACTGGAAAAATGTGCATTGAAGGGCTCCCTGAAGGGCTTTGGGAGGATAGGGGACTTTGTGTGCAGACCTTGTAAGTGGACTAGGTGTCGCAGAGCTTTAGAGAGCGCTGTAAAAGCGGCTTTATTAATATAAAATTGACATTGGCGGTTTTCGCACGACACCATTCAATTTTCATTTTTTCTTTTTTTTCATAAGATATTTTCTCCTAGATTTAGTTGATGTCTGGCTCTGAGGAATGGGCTCGACATTTTGGCTTATCGGGTGGCATAATTCTGAAAATGCACATCTGAATCGCTGAGTTTTGAAAATTCGTTTTACTTTTTCAAAAGCATATTAAAATTTAGATAAAATGTGCTTCATTTAGAGAGGGAAAGTCATGAAAGTTTAAAGAAAATTATAAAAAAAAGTATTCAATTGATAAATAGAAATAAGAAAGGAAGATAAGACGGAAGGAGGACTAATGTCAAAGGAAAATATGTAAAAGAGGGGGGACCTGATCTCTACATTGACAAAATAGTATGATAGTAGTCAACAAATAGTAGCAAAAATAGTCTGTTAGCAAGCATGTCAACTGGCGAATGAAAATCAGCACTTTCACTATAGACATCAAATTTTTCGGTCAAAGTAACCTATAATCTAAAAATTCTAAGATTATCAGAGTCTTTGAAGAAAAACAAAAGAACAAAAACCGTTACTCACTTTAAACGAGACATTCTTGTCATTGCTAATATTGCTGATGTGGATTTGCCCTACATATTCGGAATTGGTTGCATCGTACTTGAAAATCACAGCATCAGCCGGAGTAATGTTGATAAGGGAGGCTGAAAAATAGAGAAAAACGTTAATGAAGAAAAATTATGATGAGAGTTTGAAGTTTACAGTTTGAGGCCGAAGTTTTAAGTTTGTTTTGTGTTATGCCAGTGTGTGTAAATAATATATATATCCATAAAATACCTGCGAACCAGTGTTTACCTCAGCTCTATCAACCCTGCCACCTGAGCACCCCCCCCCCCTTTACAAAAGTCGGTCCAGATGGAAAGGTATTCCCATTCAGATGAAAGTTTTTTTCCGATAAAAACATAAGAAGGCACAATAGATCAATCGGTAGACTCAAGCGTGAGAAAACTAAAGCTTAGAAAGAGGGAAACGTAGGACAGCTGAGGGCATACGAATAATATGATAAATAGTAATTAATTTTTAATGGAATTTTTTGACAATTATTCTTGCTTCAGGAGGAATACTTTCTTTCAATTACCCAGTGCTCTCTTCTAAGATTTCAGAGCTTATTTTAACCGAATGCTGGATTCAGTCCAGTCTATCTTTTGAGGATGAAACAGATGTCAGAAAATATAAAATCTGTAATAAAAGGAAACTTAAGGAGTTTTTCAATACTAACATTGACTTTCGTTGCTAACATTCATGTCTGTGGATCCTTGACTTGAAATTATAGGTGACAAATTATTGAACGTCACCTAAAACGAAACAAAATGAGGAGGATTAGAGAAGACAAATTAAATAAAAGGGCATGCTCATGCTTTCCATCCTTAATTTCTAACTCTTCAGACAAGGGAAAAATTTATCGACAGAAATGATCTGATCTTGTTTAGAAATAGGTTACCTTGATGAGGCAGATTTTAGATTCTGACCCAAGGTCTTGACTCCTGGTCTAAAATATACACATTATTTTAATTTTTGAAGTGGGATGGAAAATTTAAAATTGGATACCTACTCTGGAAGAATTTCAGTAGAAAAGCATGTGTAAAAATGGAATTCATTATTCTCTCCCCCCCCCCCCCAATAAACTTTGCACTTACAAAGCCAACAAGTAGCTAAAATTCAATGACAAAAATAATTCTACAGAGAGAAAAAGTTAATCGACAGTTATTACATTGGATTTAGGTACTGTTTTAAATTTTAAAAAATTTTCAATACAATTTTGCATTTATGCTGATGAACTTGAAAGATAGATCTAAAAATTGAGCACAAAATGGGATGAAAATGACTAAAAATAAAGCAGAAAGAATAAAAAATTTTAACAAAATAATGCATTCAGAAACCTAACCGTAAAATTGATTAATTTCACAGAAGCAGCAAAAAGCACACCGAGAACTCAGAGATGTTATTCGAGGTGCTAAAAGGAGAAACCACTTACATGCTTCCAGAAAGATGCAACATTAGAAGGAAGTATAAAATGCACACTTTATTTGTTTTAACTGAAGGAGAGTAACTCACTTTTTGCAGATTGAAATAGAAAAAATTATGAAGTTATAAAGATATCAAACTTTTCAGTTATTTATTTGTGTAAGTATTCAAGATTAAGACCTCGATACTTCAGTACACATTATCAAGTTGAACAGCTGTTTTAAAAACAACTACAACAGCTGGCAAGCTATGTTTTATACACCTGATAACACCAATTCTCTTCAAGTCAAGATTGTATCAAATCAATCTTCGAAGTAGCATTAAATAGAATGTCAATTGAAACATTAAACACCATACAATCAAAATCGCAAGGAGGAGGTAGAGGAACGATGGAATAAGGAAGGCAAACATACAGAAATCTACAGAAATTAACATGATCAAGTGGTCAGTTTGGTTAAAGAGTGATGGGTAATATCCTGTAAAGTTTAAAGGTTAACATAAGTCAACTTTTATGTTTTTTTAAAAAAAAAAAAAAAAATGTACAAAAGTACACTTTGAAAAATATCTATGGCTGATTCAAGAGATATTTTTCTCATAAGAAAAGGAATTAATTTTAACCAAACAAGTTGCAAGGCCCTCATTTCTGGGCAGATATGGTGCTTTAGCCATCATGCATTGAAATAAGATGAGAACCGAAAATTCTAATGATCGAGGGAAAAAGCTCATTCAAGCACAATTTTACCTGGATGAAATTTACTCAAACGATATCGCTGTGTTCAAACACGTACTTTCCTCTTGGTCACGAAAGAATCAATTTAATACTAAATATAACACCTGAAGGCCGATTATTGAAATTGATAGATACAGCTATAGACAAAGAAGACAAAAAGGGTGCGTAGGGATACTATTGGTCAAAACGGAAGGTTGGAATGGACAAAGGAGGAAGGTAATAGACTAACTAACCATAACCCACCAGAGACCCCATAGTCAGTACATCATTTTCACCTTGACTATAGGAACCAACCATTTCAACCAATATAATTGCTCCATACTCCCTATGTCTCCTTTGTCTATAGCTTTGTCTATCATTTCAATTATCAGCCCACTGGTAGCTAAGACGTCTAAATGACGCATGAGTTTGCCCACCTGTACTCTTTGTTAATGCGTTGCCGTCTTTTACCCCCACTTTACTTTTGGCGATTTAATTCCGCATTTGTGTCAACTGAACACTCATTAGTTAATAACACCATCAAATAATAATAATAATAGCGCTTTCACAAGCTAGCATTGAAATAAGTAACACAAGGAGGCGAACAAATTAGGTCTGCTTCATGAATTAGGTTCTCCAGATGAGTTTGGGTTGAATACCTCAAAAATCCAATCTGATAATTTTCTTAGCTCATTCATTAAGTCTAGTTTCAATAAAACACTTCAATACATTTTATAAATGCTGACACCACAAAAAAGTCCGACTAAGTTTTAGAGATAAATATGATTTGATGGATAACGAGCAGAATGCTTTACTCGACTTTTTTTGACTGTGGATAAATAAAATCAAAGTCCAGGCAGATAAAATAGCTTGACCTACTGCACAAGCCTAGCATTGAGTTTCACACTGGGAGACCTTGTCGCATACACAAGTTTTATTATTACTTCAAGGCCACTACTCCAGATTTTTAACAATCTTTAAAAAAATGTTTCAGTGAGGAATTAAACATGTGAAACCAAAAGAGATGAAAAACAAAACCGAAATTATAACTTAAAAAAAAGAGATAATAGACTGTGAACTGGATGAATAAGAGAGAAAAGAGAATCAGAAAATTGGAAACTCAAACTGACGAAATAATTCGGCCTTGAAGAAGGGACTGCAGAGGCCCAAAATGCATTGGCGGTTACTTAACTTTATTTTCGCGTTTGAGTTTTTAATGATTGATACACTTTATTTTAGTGAAAAATAATATGTATTATTTTTACATAGAATAGGGAAGAAAATTTTGATTTTTATAGTCCAAAACTTTGGTAAATATTACTTTTTTTTGTTGAGAGCTGTACTGTAAGGATGAAATTTGGGTTGCCCAGTAATCAGGAGCATAAAAATAACCAATTAACTGAGGAGAACTTTTTACCTGAACGACAAACTATGATGTCGCTTTGCAAAGAAAAAAACAGTAACAGCGAGAAAAACAGTTTTATTGCAAGGTGACCGTGACAATAGAGAGAGTACCAAGAATTTTTGATTCCGTGGGTAAGTCAGCAGGCAGGGATAGAATTGAGTGAGGATTTGGATTTCGATGATTGAGAATTTTTTAGGAAAACATGCAGTCTTCCAGAAACTTTACATTGCTACCACACCACGGACCGCCAGCTCACAGGGACAGGATTGGGAAAACGGGAGGAGGTAACGTATATATCTAGAATGCAAGGAGGATCAGAGAAATTAACAGAAGTGAGGCAGGAGTTACTCCTTCATGTGAGGTAGCTTTGGATGAAACGCACGAAAAGTAAAACAAAAGAAACGCAGAAATTCTTTTTGGAGGCATCTAAATCAATAAAAGTAGAACAGAAGTTGCAAGGGGGTAATTCTCCAATTACACTCAAATTCAGGTATCTACCAGTTTACAGCGCCAGAGTCAACGCTAAATAAGTTTACCCACTTTTATACTGCGACAGAAGGTCCGCCATCTTGCTTCTTGCATTTACTTAACACGGAAAAAGGATGTCAGACGATCTTCTGTCCCAGTCTAGAAGTGCGTAAGCTTACTTGGCGTGGACTCTACTATATTGCATCAATCAAACACGGTATGGTTGACAGCAAGTATTAAGTACGAGGAGAAAATTGGATTAGCCATATGCTGTGATGGTTTGTATTTAATGGAACGATATCATATATCATAGCTTTACAACCTCACCCCGTCATCATCAGGGTTACATGCTAGTATTGCATTACATTGCTAATTTTCCTTCAAACCTTGAATTTTAATCTGTGTTACTTAAGTTGTTTGAGCATTGGATAAAAATTGTTTGCAATTTTTTTCCTTGCACGAAGATTCTAACCCATCCACTTCCTTTACGACCAAGTCCCCTCTGAACTTTGAAAATTTCAATAAGAAGAAACACCTTAGCCTTGTGGCTTGCATTGTAGAATGTTGAAGTCTGCTAGACTATTTTGCTTGTTATTGAATAGTTCCATCTTTTATTTTGGGCACAGCAAGTGCAAATACATAAAAAAAAAAAACCTAATGGAAAGCATCCACATACGTCGAAAATTTCTTATGTTTTTTGTCCCAAAATGTTTATGATGCACTCCTTCTGCAATAATGTCGTTGCTCAATTTTTTTTTCTATTAGGCAGGTCCTACTTCATCAGGACAGTTACATTTTCCGAAGAATTGTTCTTTAGAACCGTTGGATTTTTAAATTAAATCTGTACACAGAGTACAAGCCATTACAAAGTATGAGAAGTTAATAAAAGTACACTACAAAATCCATGCAAAAGTTCTTACTTTTTTATCGATTTTGATTGCAACAGGGGCTGGTTCAGGTTCAAACGAAAACTCGTAAGGATCTTCTCCACCCCAGCTTTTCAGGGCTTGACTGGGTTCCACATATTCTCCCAGCGTTTTCTGATTGACAAATTTAATTTTTTGGACAGCTTTTTCCGGCAACCATGATTTTATTATTTTGAATGCAGCTGTTAGGGTTAAAAAGTAAAGCGATTAAATATTAGAACGTTTTAAGGATGTCTAAATGTCGATTCCAACTATGGTTAAAAAGGAAGAAAATGGATCTCCATTCCAGTTATTCAAAGTTGCCACGAAAACTTATTTTCATGCATCAAGGTAATCAAGACAAATGATATAAAAATTTCACTACAATTATGGTAAAAAAATATGAGCCATGGATAGAATAAAATATTAAAAAACGTTCAGAAACACTGAAATGAAGTTACACTATTGAGGCTTCCAATGAGTTTTCCAATTGGTAAATTTTTCGGAGGTTATTTTTCCATTCGTCAAAAATTGCTCACTACAAATACTCTTACACAGACACTTGTATTCACAATATTTCATTGGTAATTTTTTCTTGATTTCTGCCAAGACATTCTTTAAATTCATTCGGTGGCAAAACGTTTGTCCAATTTTAAAAGAAACTTGACAAAACCAAAAAATAGACATTTCTTTACGACATAATGGACCACTAGACAGGGCACAAAACTATGTATCACAACATATGTTTTCTAATTAAAAATTTATGTGGTATGCGATGGCCGCATTAAATACTTCCAAATCTAACTCGTAAGTACGAAAATAGCGTGTTTCGTTTCAGTCAGTTCACACTTCCTAAGTACTTCTGAAAAACCAAAGTCTACCCTAGCCAAATCAAGTACTAAACTACTTTGGGTATGTTTTACGATGGAAGAATTTTCCTGGATGATGACTTTTTTTTGGCAAGAGTAGAGTTGCCATGTATTTGAAGAGAAGGAAAATGGCTGTGAAACCAAGCAGAAATTATTGGCCTAGCAAGTAGGTTTTGACAGACTAATTTGGACGTGTTTCTGCCAAACAGAACTATGTGCACTAAGACATGAGCCCTGAGAGCCATAAGAATGTACGCATAACAGGGCTCACGTCTTAATGCACATAGTTCCGTTTGGCAGAAATACGAGCGTTTAACTGACGTTGATTATGGTTTTTTTGCAAGTAGGAAATTTGAATTTAGTGTTCTTCGTGAAAACTATGAACAGTGCTTCCTCACTTATGACTTGATTTTGGAAGTTTTTGATTCATTCTACATGTAAACTCTACATGAAATTTTGATGAGAAAAAATGTCTTTTAGGGGTCTGATTTTTACCTCGTTTTGGGGTCCATTTTGTTTGTTTTTACAGTTATACCCACCCATTTAAGAGTCAAAAAATTAAAAATAAAAAATACGAAAATTAACATGGATATAAAAAAAAAATTAAAAGTTAAAATAAAAAAAACCTAGAAAAGAAAACTGTTAGATGCGCTGAGTATAAGAGGCCTCTTGATGTAAGTTCTTAAGTACTCGGGTTTGTTTCCTTACATTCTCCAATACCAAACTATGTTAATGATACCCAGACAGAGTAAATTCAAAATATCTGATTTTTGAACAGGTTTCATGCGTTAAAATTCATAGAAGCTAGTTAGTATGGACCATCACTGGTTTTCATGTTAATACGCACCATTTAAGATCCAAGGCATTTCAAAAATGAGTATGTAGTTGAGAAAGTATGGATAGTATGATTTACAGAGGTTTATTAAGTATTTCGTGTAATCCATATCTAGATTGCTCAGGCCAGAATCCTGCATGTCAAATACTATGGTGATTTGATTCCCCTTGTGTTCCCTGGAACAAAATAAATTGTTCATTTAGAGCAACAAATGTACATAATAAATTTATAGTGGGACTGAAAAATCATGATTTAAAAATCTACGGTGTGAGACTCAAAATTTGGTGACTGATAAATTACAGCACCAAAATTAAACATTGCAAAATATTGCACAATTACTTAAATTCTCTGGCAGAACAGTGGATACTACTAAAGTTTTAAAAATCAAGGAAAAGGTAAGAAAATTTATTCAGATTTGGTTTGAGAGTCAGTCTTTCTGAATTCCACCTCACACCTGTTGCTATCATACACCACTATGCAACAGATGTATACCTGCCATGGTGTCCTTCAGTAAATCGAGTTTTTTTGCTTAAATACGCCCAATTATTCGATAGCATTTCAAACACGCATTGTAAGAAAATAACTTTTAAAGTCACTGAGAGCCACATTTCATTGTATGTATTTTACTCACTTTTCGAGACGTTCAAACCAATAGATAAGGCACATTTTTAGGTCATCAAAACTTTTCTGGCCTTTGCTGTGCAGCTTACATCTGAAAATAAACAGTGCTTTCCCGTCTCGGTCAAAATTGTGTGGAAACTGGGCACCTTCTTTCAGGTAATCATAATTAACCAGATCATTGATTTCTGCAAGAAAAAAAGAAAAAAAAAATAGTAAATAACATCATCCTGTTAAAAATGAGAGAAATCTCAATGAAAGGATCACAATTAAAAGCATGTTGTAGTGTTTCGAAATTAACATAAGGACGAATTTGTCCTTAATAAAACTATATAGGTACAGATTAGAAAAATAGAAAAAACCAAGAGGAACACACATTTGTTGTTGTTTTTTTCTTCCTAAAAAAATGTATTTGAGCATAATTCCTATTGGCGTAAATATGTCTATGCTCTATATAAAAATAAGCAAATGTGACCACTACAACTGGCTACTGATCAATTTAGTTTTCTTTCTAAATTACTCTGGACACTCAGATCAGAGATGAAAATAACTGAGTGATGTCATGTAACTGGACTCAGAATTACAGCTTCAAGGCCAACAAGAAATTTTACTGCAAGGACGGACTAATGCCAAGCCATGCACTTTATTTCATGCTATCTGTAAATCAAAGAAAGCTACAGTGTTTACTTCTTTATCATACCTCATCCATCAGACCACTCAAACTTGCAACATACTTATATATCGAAAGACTTAATTGACCAGATACTTAGAAATCAATGCAAAGAATCATAGATAACATGTTTCTTTACCCTGTCCCTTTCCTTTTTCAAACTTCTCTCTCTCTTTTTCACAGTTCCTTGGAAAGAGGACGCCTTACTTTAATGCGAGAAGCCCTGCAAATGTGAACAGGAAGAACAACTTACCGTTGACTCTGTTCTGCTTCCTCCATTCCAGTGTTTCCCACAACATACTTAGAGCATCATCTTGGACCATTTCATGATGAAGCAGAAATCGGCCTAGCCATTCATCATCAGCTTTAACTCGCGCAACATCAACCTCCGCAAAAAATCCTATACAGCGACAAAAAATATTAGTTACTAAAGTCGAAGAGATACTTCATGTGAGAAAAGGAGAAAAAATTGAAACAAATTTTTGAGTCCCTGCTCACAGAAAATTAGCGAGAGCTAATCTAAAACTTTGACCACTTTTATAAACAGGGTTGACAACGGATGAGATTATAGTCAAAGCTTATTAGCATCTGACGAACGATGCTTGAGGAATTTCTGGACTGCCGACAGTTTTTAGAGTGGTATGTTCGTTGATACCTCTGCATATCCGCAAGAAGAGCGGACCAATTAGCTTAAATTGTTCGGGAATCTCGCTGAGAGAACTGACAGGATCTATGATTGGGAGAGCAGAGATTAGGTGATAAAAATCAGAGTTTGAACCCACTTGCTCGCCGCTGAACGCGCTGCCAAGCATGCCTCAATCCCATGTATGTAAGATACGGGTGGTCTTAGTCCCGGCCCTTATCAGGCACCCATGACTAGCGGGGGCTATGGCCTTTAGCCACCCTCTCCAGGCACATCCGGGTAGTAAGTAAGTAGTTGCCATAATATGATAGGTATTCTTTTAATTTTAGTTTTCTTGGTTTGGCTTTCAAAGCAAAAAGAAAACCCTTCAAGAAGATTAATCTGAATGCACTTGCTAATTTTCTGCTGTCCATGAAAGGCGCTGAATAATTTTGTACTAATTTATAAGTTGTAGCTTTGTAAAGATGCAAACACTAGAGCTCGCACATCCTATGATGCGACAATCAATCTCTAATTACATCCGAATTAGCACCACCTAACAGGTTAATATATTCAGCCAGATGGCACCACTGACGAGTGGTGACATAAACAATACTTTGACGTTTGTCTCAGCATACGATGCGCGAGTTCTAGCAAGCCAGAAAAATGACTTTTTTAGGTGATGACTTAAAAGCCCTAAAAATCAAGCGCGTGCGGGGCTAGGTATTTACAGAATTTAGAAGTATCAGTCTTAAGGGCACTGACCTTATTTCGTGAATCATTGGAAACATAAATCAAATCTATGAAACAACAAGTAAGTAATAGCTCTCTTTGCTTTCCACACTTTTAAATTTCTGACCCACATGGTAGTAGAAACAACACTTATTTTGCTGAAATCATTCCATAGGCTGGTGTCTTTAAATTACTTAGAAAAAGTTTTAGGAAATGAAGTAACTAACAACAATACGTTCAAGTCTAGGAATGACAAGTAACGAGCCTTTTTACTGACTAGATTGTCGATGAGCAATGCGGTTTGGATGCGCTCACATCTTTCGAAACTAAACAAGAAAATGGACAAAACGAAACCACAATACCTTCGGTCTTATTTTCAGCTTCTAATTTCTTCAGAAATGAGCTTCGCAACTCGCGAATTGTATCTCCACTGACTTCTGTCATGATGGATCACGACTTAAATGAACGAAGTTGAGTTAAAGCTGGGATTGCCACAAGGTTACAAACACTGAGCTGCAGATTAAATTGGCATGTTTGAACGAAAACAAATCGAGAGAGAAAATAATGAGGAATAAATTTAAACCTCGACAAATGGAAACGCTTTAGAACGAACGCTTTCAAGAACGTGGATGAAAATATCTGATCGCCGAAGTGGATGTGGGCGCCAGGAATTCGACAGGTTGATAGTAGACAGCAAGGTGAGTAAACAACTTGTTAGGTTAAAACAGCTGATTTTACTCGATTGAGCACCGGGGAGAGCTCGGGTGGTGGAGCTAGTGGAGCCATTGGAGCTCACAGGTGGAATCATGGACAGTGTGGCATTTCATGAAAAATAAAATCGTGAAATATTTCGTGAAATTTCAAAAATTTTCGAAAGATAATGAAAAATACTGGTTCCTTTTCGTATTTCTCAAAATGTAAAAATTGTGACTTTCTTTTATTTTTGTGTTTGAGTGCGGGTTGCATACTCTCGCCCCTAAAAAATATGAAATATTTCACAGCCTCGTGAAATTTCGTGAAATATTTCACTGCAATTTCCAATTTTGTCGATCCATTCACGGGTGTGTCGATCAGGACCGGATTTACCTACTTGCCGCCCCTACTTGCCTGTATTTTGCCACCCCTTCTCATTCGTTTTGAAACGTCAATACAAACCATTAAGTGAACGTGCCGGAGGAGGAGGGGTGTATAAGACGCGTTTATACTCGTGTTGGGCACATTATTTGTGAAAGTGCTGTCAACACTAGCAAAAGTTCACGAACTTTGCGCGAAAATTAAGTTTCGTAAACCTATCTTTGTGTGGACGAAGCCTTTCATTTGTAAGAAAAGAACGAAAAAATTATGAAAGAATGAACATGAATGTGATTTAATGATTTAATTTCCGCAACTGCACTGTGTGTGGCGCAATGCGTCAAGTATCCCTACAGTCTTCTAGGCGCTATGCGTTTCACGCCAACCGCTGCTGACCGCATTACGTTTGACGCAATGCGTGAAGTATTCATCGAGTCTTGTAGGCGCTAATATGTGTGTAACCGGCGCGGCGCGCCGAGGGCTTCTCCTTTTCATCTGAAGTCCTCGTCATCATTGCACTCTGCGCCGCGCCGCGCCGCTCCAGACCAAATTGAGTGTTTGGTTTCTCTCTCAACTAGACTAACAAAAGGTCTCTAAGTCTCTTGAATCACCGAAAGACGAACAAATTAAAAATTACTTTACTTTCACTCTCTGGAAATAAGAGAGATTTGGTCGCCTTTTCTCGTTTGTAATTTTTTTTTTCTGAATCCGATTTTTTTTTTTTTTTTTTTTTTTTTTTNTTTTTTTTTTTTTTTTTTTTTTTTTTTTTTTTTTTTTTATTTTTGATACCTATATTTGAAAAAATTGCAACATTTGCTGCCCCTAAATTAGCAACCATGGGCCGCGGCCCATGCGGCCAACCCCTAAATCCGGCCGTGGTGTCGATCGACTCACGGCTTTTGTCGATCGATTCACGGGTTTCTTGATCGACTCACTGCTTTTGTCGATCGATTCACGAAATGGAGATGTTGCATGTGTGAGAAATTTGCGATTTGACTGTTGAATCTTACGTAAAAGTTCGCGAGAAACACGATGGTGCCACTGGTTTTCTCTGAAATCAACTCCCAAGCTCAAAAAAAGCTCCAAAGTTGAGGCCAAAATGGAGGGATATCCCACGCTATCCTGAGAGTCCATACCTCTACATCAAGACAAACTCTCCATGCGAGAGATAGGGAGCAAATACATTAGCAGGGTTGCTGTGTTTTCAGTTTTAGGAGTCTCCAAATAAAGTGGCAGCCCTGTCATTGTATTTGCTCCTTATCTACGCATGGAGAGAGTTTGTTGAGATCGCCGCCAAACAATTTGCCGCGGAGGTCCCGAAGGGGCCCACGCGGCGAATTTTTTTCGAGTCATCGTTTTTTTCCCGCAATGTTATGATTTTCTTATCCTTTTCAATCACTAAAAGGCCCCGAATTCCTTGAAAATTTGTCTCTAAGAGACACGGAAGGTCGCCAAAAGCATTTGTGATGAAGGGACCCCCGATGAATCCTGAGAATGGGTTATTTTGAAGTTCAAGTACTGCAGAATCCAACTCCAATTATGCCTACGTGTTTAAAACGTGTGAAATTTTGGAATTTACCGGGGGGGGGGGCGGACCTTCTTAGAGGGGCCCCCGCACGACAAGAGGGGCCCTTACATTTAGGTCTCCTCCTAGCTTTTCGACTACCAGTCCGCCCCTGTGTGCCGCTACTGCAGTTTTGACCGTTAAGGCCGTAGTTTAAGGGTGCTAAAGCCAGGATTGTATTTCGCAAACAGATAATTTTTGCAGAATAATTAAAAATTAAGAAGCAGGAGTAATTTAACTAAATAAGAAACGGAACTCAAACCTACAGTATAATGCAAAACAATTTGGAAAATCTCGTCATGTAAATACAGAAGATTCGAAAACGCCTTCAAATGAGGCGTGATACCTCACGCGTTCTTGAGAGTTCAAATAGTTTTATCCCTGCGCCTTGGCAAGGGGATAGAAGCTTCATATTTAAGTAGCGTCCCGGTTTGGTTTTTTGTCTTGCCTGTGCCGCTATTGCAGCTTCGACCGTTAAGGCCGTAGTTTCAGGAGGCGAGAACCAGGATTGTATTTCGCAAAAAGAAAATTGTCGCGGAATAATTAAACATTAAGCAGCAGGAATAATATTTCTGAATAATAAAAGGAACTGAAATCTACAATATAATGCGAATAAATTTGTAAAATCTCGTAATGAAAATACAGAAGTCTTCAAAACGCCTTCGATTGAGGCGTGATACCTCAGGCGTTCCGGAGAGTTCAAATAGTTGTATCCCTGCGCCTTAGCAAGACGATGGAAGTTTAATATTGAAGTAGCGTCCTCGCGTTGTTTTTCGGTTTTCTTGTACCGCTACTGCAGTTTCGACCGTTTAGGCCGGAGTTTAAGGGCGCTAAAGCCAGGATTGTGTTTCATAAAAAGACAATTTTTGCATAATAACTAAAGATTAAGAAGCATGCAGGAATAATTTATCGCAATAAGGAAAGGAACTCAAAACTACAATAAAATGCAAAAAAACTAACGCAGTTCAAGGGCGCTAAAGCCAGGGGTGTATTTCGCAAATGGATAGTGTTTGCAGAATAATGAAAAATTGTGGAGCAGGAGTAATTTGACTAAATAATAAAAGGAACTCAAATCTATAATATAATGCAAAACAAATTGGAGAATCTCGTCATGTAAATACAGAAGGTTCGAAAACGCCTTCAAATGAGGCGTCATACCTCACGCGTTCCGGAGCGTTCAAATAGTTGTATCCCTGCGCCTTCGGAAGGCGATGGATGCTTTTATAGAAGTAGCGTACCTCCGTTTTTTTTTCAGTTTTTCTTTGCCGCTACTGCAGTTTCGACCGTTAAGGCCGTAGTTTAAGGGCGCTAAAGCCAGGATTGTACTTCGCAAAAAGATAATTTTTGCTGAATAATTAAAAATTAAGCAGCAGGAATAGTATTTCTGAAAAATAAAGGGAACTCAAATCTACAATATAATGCGAATAAATTTGGAAAATATCGTCATGAAAATACAGAAGTCTTGAAAACGCCTTCAATTGAGGCGTGATACCTCACGCGTTCCGGAGAGTTCAAATAGTTGTATCCCTGCGCCTTAGCAAGGCGATGGAAGTTTAATATTGAAGTAGCGTCCTCGCGTTGTTTTTCGGTTTTCTTGTGCTGCTACTGCTAATTCGACCGTTTAGGCCGGAGTTTAAGGGCGCTAAAGCCAGGATTGTATTTCGCAAAAAGATAATTTTCGCATAATAATTAAAAATTAAGAAGCAGGAATAATTTATCGTAATAAGGAAAGGAACTCAAAACTACAATGAAATGCAAAAACTAACGCAGTTCGAGGGCGCTAAAGCCAGGGTTGTAATTTGCAAATGGATAGTGTTTGCAGAATAATGTAAAATTATGGAGCAGGAGTAATTTAACTATATAATAAAAGGAACTCAAATCTACAATATAATGCAAAACAACTTGGAAAATCTCTTCATGAAAATACAAAAGATTCGAACACGCCTTCAATTGAGGCGTGATACCTCACGCGTTCTGGAGAGTTCAAATAGTTGTATCCCAGCGCCTTGGCAAGGTGATAGAAGCTTCATATTTAAGTAGCGTCCCGGTTTGGTTTCTTGGCTTTCCTGTGCCGCTACTGCAATTTCGACCGTTCAGGACTTAGTTTAAGGGCGCGAAAGCCAGGATTGTATTTCGCAAAAAGATAATTGTTGCAGAATAATTAAAAATTAAGAAGCAGGAATAATATTACTAAATAAGCAGAGGAACTCAAATCTACAATATAATGCGAAAAAATTTGGAAAATCTCTTCATGTAAATTCAGAAGATTCGAAAACGCCTTCAATTGAAGCGTGATACCTCACGCGTTCCGGAGAGTTCAAATAGTTGTATCTCTGCGCCTTAGCAAGGCGATGGAAGTTTAATATTGAAGTAGCGTCCTCGTTTGGTTTTTCCGCTTTCCTGTGCCGCTACTGCAGTTTCGATTGTTAAGGTCATAGTTTAAGGGCGCGAAAGCCAGGATTGTATTTCGCAAAAAGAATATGTAACTAGAATAATTAAAAATTAATAACAGAGATTTGGGAGATTAAAAACAGAGATTTGGGATCATTTCTTATAAAAAGTTGGTTTTAGAGGCCAATATAGAATAGAAGGGAAAGTTTAATTTGTCAATAGGCAACCCAAAAAACAAAGTTCAATGATAAAATGTTGGACCTTTGCATCTTCTGTCGCAATTTAAAGTTAGGTACCATTTGTCAGAAATAACGCGTATTTTGAACATTCCTACTCTGATTTCATTATACGGAAAGTGGTAATAACCTTTTTTGTAGATTTAATAAGCTCAAAAATGAATAGAACTGCGTTGGTAGAAAAATCAATATTTGAGGCCTTACAGGCAAAACACAGTGATGTTTCACTATTTTCCATTGATTTTTCCCATTTTTGGAATTTAACTGCTAAAAGCAGGGTACTTCTACCAACATGCTGGTAGAAGACAATGTCACGAGAAAACGAATGGAGCCACTTATAGAACCTCGAAGTTTTGTATAAACTGAGTTATAAGTGTTTAAAGTTTCCACATTTTGTCCGACCTTCCCCGTTGACTCGATCCACTGTGCGGACTGTGTTTGA